ATAATTATTATAAGCAAAATGAAATTTGTAACCTTTATAGCTTAGATTGTCTGCCCATTTGATGACTCTCAAAACTCCATTGAAATAGGGCAGCTGCTCGTTAGGCCACTCCAATTCGAGCATCGTTGAAGTTTTTTGTGCTGCGCTAGCCAACTCAGCTTTGATATGGTTTTATATGCTTTTTTCCCTTATTTTTTACATTCTATTTTTTTCTTTGCAATTTTTTTTTTTTTGTAATTTTTTGTGTTTACTGCCAATTAAATATTGAAAAGTGTTGCAACAGCATTTCGGATGCTCTGGTCAGTGGCAGCAGCTCTCAAGGTGATCTTTGCTTTGCTTTTTGGCCCCAAACGAGTTTCCATTCTCACTCAAGCATTCGCATTCAATTCGTTATGCGAATACGAAGAAGAGTATATTGGTTTGGTCTAGCGCATAATTGGAATTTATACGCGAGCGAGCATTGTGCAGCCGTTGATAACCCACAGTGTTGCTATTCTTTTTTTTCCATTGCTTTGTTTTTGTTCTTCTTTCATTAAAAGCGACATGCAGCATTGCACAAAGCAAACGAATGCATTCGCAATACTCACTTCACGTCATACTCAGTGCCACCCGCGCTGCCTTTTCAAAAGCCAACAATGGCTGGCAAACTTTGCATTGCATAGCAATAGGCGCCACACCCACACCTGCACAGCTGCACACCCGTAGACCTGCACACGTATGCACACCTGCCAAAGCAACGCCTAACATAATGAAAAACAACAATGCAGTGCAGCAAGTGAGCAACTTTGGAGCAGGTCATTTCGGATTATGCGTTAACATCTCAAGCAGGAGTAGCACAGTGTTCTGTGCCACAAAGGAGCTGCAGGAGCAGCTGCTATTAAAGCTGAAGCCAGTGGGCAGCAAATGTGTCAAGAGCTTAGCTTTCCTTTCAGTGCATTTATAAGCGCAGCGAATTTATGCATTCTTTTTAACTGAGAAACGTCTTGGAATAAGCGAACCAGGGACAGAAAGCGAGATGCCAACAGCTGGACAGCATCCAAGGGGTGCCCAAATAACAAATCGAGCAATTACAACAGCCTGACTAAGCATTGGGGATCTACCACCCAAACATCTGCCTAGCACGCACTGGAACTAGCAGACAACTCAGGCCCTCAGGTATTACTGACTAAATAAAACCTGTAGCCAGATTTTCCACTTTAAACGAAATTAGGGCATAATAAAATTGCCCAATAAAAAATAAAATAAATATTAAAATATAAAAAATTTGATCATAAGCATTGCATTTCTAACAGCCAAGAAAATTGCAGTCAAAATTATTTCATAACTTAAAAAAATATTAAAAAATAGAAAAAAAAATAGAACATTAAATTCCTAACAGATAAATAATTCCAAAATATTTCCAACCTGCTATACAGATATATATATATATCGATATACATACACATGTTAACATTTGTAAGATGCAGCAGCATAAAATTAATAAATATCAACAACAACAAAAGAAAGCAAACATTTTGACTCTATATTTATTCATATATTCGCTTACATTCACTGCATTGGGGACATTTAACAGAA